GTCTCTCATAGTTGAGGTATACCTATGATGAAAATTACAGGCCTCTCTCATCTTTTTAAGTGGGAGAACTTGCACAATTGGTGGCTGACTAAATACTTTTTTGCCCCACTGTAGCTGGAGTTAGATAAAATAGGGGAAACACTGAGGATGTGCTGTGTGTTTAGGTGCTTGGGAATTTCTTTGTGTTAATTTAAACTGTGTACAAATTATCACTTCTGTGGAACAATACAAACAGGCTTCTCCTAACACTGATATAGTTATAATGCAGTAATTGTAACTTGATAATTACAAACGTAAAGGAGGAGACATGCTTTTTTGTCCTGTGTGTGAAATGGCAAATTGGTAGATATTGTTTAATAAAACAGGACGATCTGGTGTAGTTGGAAAAATGCTTACTCAGATGTTTACTCTGATGATCCCTGCACATGTTATTTGGCTTCTACTGTCCTAATATAGCTATAGGACAGGCATGATTTTCTAGTAATTTAAATAAAAGCCAGAGGGTAGGTAACTCAAAGAACCTCCCTAGTAAGGATGTACAAAACATTTTGAATTCAAAATGGCCATTTTAAAGAATGAAATGGACCACTCTGAATGTAAAACAGAGGTTTTGAGCATTTTGGAAATCTTTTAAGCATTTTGGAAAAGTTTTATGCTCAAAAGAACTTTGACTCAAGCTTGAAACACTTCCAAAATGTCTAAAATAGCCCATTTCATGCCCAAAGCAATTGTTTCACACTCAAGATGAACCATTTTTAATTTGAAAAGGAGTGATTCAAATTTGAAACAATACAAATTCAAACAACTTTGCAGATCCTTCTACCTAGGAAGTGTATACATCTTTGTATTAATTCTTTACAAAAACAGTAACTGTTGATCAAGTTCTGACAGACATAAGAAGCTAACATGAAAACTTATTTTTTAAACTGCTGATTGTATCATTATCTTTATAAGTGTTCTATCATTCCTAGATCTAAATTAGATGCATTTTGCTCTTGGTAAGGATGTATGTTTTTCCCAGGTGCCAGAACCGAAACTCAGCTAAGCCAATAGACATGTATCTTTGACATCATGTGAATAGTTTGCAATATTGAAAAATTCTTAAATTTTGTATTCTCTATCAGTCACTAGTGCCTCTTGAATTTGAAGTGACCATTTTGCTCAAATGTTCCTGCAGATAATAATGCTGTTGTTTTTATCAAAATTAATTGGTTTCCTGCTACTAGGTATATCAACATTTTTCTGGTTTCCTCTTTCAATTCATCCTTAATACTTGACACAAAACTAAATTCTCTAACAGAGCAGTAACACAGGTCCAAAATTTGACTCAGTTAAAACAAAGTGATGCTTATTACTTTACTGACTTGAAATGCAGCAAGATGATGATGGTGATGATGATGATGATGATGGATGATGATGATGATGATGATGGAGGAGGAGGAGGAGGAGGAGGAG